CTTACCGCATGTTGGGAAACTGCTAAGTATAAGAAGAGTTCATCTCCTGGTATTGGGGTTACCAACAATGTTGGAGAGCTCATGTACTTTTTCAAGCTTTCGAGAGCGCGGTTGCATTCATCATCCTATTCAAACTTGGCCTTCAGTGCTTGGAAGAACGGTCGACACCTATTTGATGACTGACTTATGAATTGGTTCAGTGTGGCTGCTAGGCCGGTGAGATGCTGTACCTTCTTGACTGTGGCATTTCGAGATCTTGAATGACTTTGATCTGAGATGGATCGGCTTCTATACCTCGGTTGGTTACTTGAAAGCCAAGAAATTTTCTTGACCTCACACCAAACGCGCACTTGGATGCGTTTAGTTGCAGCTTGTGGGTCTTCAAAATTTGGAACATCTCGGCGAGATCCTTGAGATGGTCTTCTTCATTCTTAATTTTGACTACTATGTCATCTATGTAAGCCTTCATTGTTCTGCCTAACAATGGCTCGAACATTTTGGTGATCATTCGCTAAAATGTTGCCCCTACATTTTTCAGGCCAAAGGGCATGATCTTGTAGCAATACAATCCTCTGGGTGTTGTAAACGATGTGACCTCCTGGTCTGGTTCATGCATAGCAATCTAATGATAACCGCGATACGCATCGAGAAAGCTAAGTCGGTTGTGACCTGCAATTAAGTCCACCAGTTGGTCTATTCATAGTAGAGGAAAATTGTCTTTTGGGCATGCTTTGTTGACTGCCTTGTAGTCTATGCAAACGCGCCACTTGCCATTCTTTTTTGGCACCACCACGGTGTAAGAGATCTATCTGGGATAGTAAACCTCCCTAATTGCCCTTACTTCTAGTAGATTTCCCACTTTCTCAACCACTACCGCAGCGTGGTGAAGTGCCGATCAGCGAGTTCGCTGTATAATTGGTTTGGCAGTTTGGTGGACATTGGGTTGATGGTAGATGAAGTTTGGGTCAATGCTAGGCATATCGTACGGCGTCCAGGCAAACACCTCGATGTTAGAAATTAAAATTTTCATGATCTCTATTCTCTCGGTGCTGGACAAAGATGAGCTGAGCAAAAAGAACTTTTCTGGGATCTTCTCGTCTATTTTAACCTCCACCAGATCTTCTACTGCCTTTTGTTCGGCTGCCTTGCCGATGTTTGCGAATAACTTGTTACTTTCTAGCTCTTCCACCATTTGTACGAACCTTTTGGCAGCTCAACTGCCGTTTACAGTCACGAAGCATTGCTTGAACATGCTTTGGTCTCCTAAGACTTCTTTAATCATTATGGCTTCGTTGGGGAACCGTAACACCTAGTGGTAGGTCGACACTACCGCTCGCATGGCATATAACCATGCTCTTCCCAAGATTATGTTGTAAGTGGATGGGACTTTCAATACCCAAAATTCTACTTGCTTTGTCATTGTTCCTACTTTAACTGGCAGAACTATCTTGCCAACCGACCATTCTGGCATTAAGTTGAAGCAGACTAAGGGAGATGTTGCGGGTGCTAAATCTTTGTCCTCTAATTTGAGTTGCTTGAAGGTCTTGTAGTACATTATCTCACATGAGCTCCCTTGCTTGCGATCCTGGGGGGCTGGCTACGCTTCCCCTTCAATATATTGGTCCAGGTGGCCTGCGACCACTAACTCCTCCAGATGTTGCCTTAATGGCGTACAGTTTTCAGTTCGGTGTCCCTTTTTATCATGGAAGGTGCAACGGTACCTATCATCATAGCCCCTCCGCGCTTCTTCTAACTCGGCTAGCCGCCGAACAAAGGGTTTGTCGCGTATCTCGCTAAGAATCTGGTAGATGGGTTTGTTGAACACCGTGGTGATGGCGGTGTGGACTCTCAACTTCCTTGCCTGAGAGTCCTCACCGTTTGCTCGTCTACCCTGACCATTTTTGTTCGGTCGCTCTTCCCGACCGACCATGTTAACTTTTGCCGTAGGTTTTTTGTCTGACATCGCTGTTGTGCCCAATTTTACTTTGGCACGAGCGTCATCCTCGTCTACCCGAATGTGCTGATGTACTCTCTCCATTAGGGCCTCCATTATGAAGGGTGGCATCATTGTTATTGAATCTCTCAATTTATTGCCTGCTGGCAAACCCCGTTTGTACTGTGCGATAGCTAGGTTTATGGGGCAATCTTCGATTTGATTAAAAGTCTCTCAATACCAGTTGTTGTAAGACTTCAATGTTTCCTTCTTGCCCATGTCGATGGAGAGTAGCTGGTCAATCTCCACTGGCGTCTTGGTGTTTGTTCTAAACCTGGTAACAAATGCCTCTGCAAGTTGCGTAGGAAACATGATACACATTAGAGCCTCGTTTCATCGATACACGGCTATAACTTGGCGAAAGTGGTGAAAGTGCACGTAGGGATCTGACATTTTCCTCTTAAGTTGTGAACTTAGGCTGGTGGAAACCTAAGGGTAATGGTGTGCTCAGCGACCATTCTCTTTATCAATTCGTCTTGCTCCCTTATGTGATCTTCAAGAACCTGAGGATCCATCCTCCTTCTCTGCCTATCAAGGCTTTGAGAGCGATGAGGACTTAAGCCTCGTCTCTTTCGTGTGTCTCTCCGTAGGTTCTGTCGTTGGGGATCCAATTCTGCCATGGGTGGAACAAAATGCAGACCTTCGCGTCTCTCGCCCCTTCTAGGGTCTGCCCATCAATAGCAGAATGTGGCTAGTCTTCGTTTTGTGCCATTGACATTAATTGAAGGAAGACTCAATCAAAAGGTTTGTTCTCTGTGATCTTTTCCACAAACGACGTCAATTGTGTGAACACGAAATAATCTTCTCGTATAATCATGTTGATCATATTCGTGCTCCTCCAAACATCGTCGCTTTGCTACCTAAAAACACAAACGTGAGCTAGCAGGCCGGTGTGTGCCAGAAACCCCTCCGATGCCTAAGTTAGCAAAATAGGCAATCGAAACAAAAGCTCTGCGTATTTGAGAGTAAGAATTGTGATCCATGTACCTAGGTCCTGTCATGAGCTTTTATAGATTCCACCTGACACAATCCTAATAGGACTCCAACTCTTCTTATAAGAGTCCTCTTAGGAATCACACTCCCAAGGATAATGCTTATCCTGATAATACCCTACTCATTGCCAACCAAGTGAGATGGTTTCAACTCTTTTACTTAGGCCGACAGTATGGTCAACCGAGCTAACAAGTCACAATGTTGCTCTGGATAACACTGTGGTAGCCCCTTTGTAGGATAGCGCCCTTTTTCCTTGCTAACACCTCGGCCTGCTACTGGGCCTAGCTTTAGATAGCCAAGTCAGACCCCTGATGTCGTCTCCGTTCAACTTGGTGCCCAGATGACCCAGGACCAAGCTATCTAAAGCTTTCACCTCGACCCCGTAGCTCGGCCCAATGCTTAAGATAGATGGACCTAGCTCGGCCCAATTTATTCACATAAATTACCCTCCCAGCACCGATGAAGGATCAAGCAATTGAAGTATGTGGAAGAGTAGACGATCAAAAATTTATTGGAGGAGAAAATCAAAATGCAAGGGTGTTCTCTAACCTCTCAATTTTTTGCCCCTACAAGACTGGGATCCTTGCGGATTGTAGTGGAGAAGACTAAATCCCACATCATATTATATCCTCTATTTTATATCTAGTGAAACAAACGAGGCCTTAGAGTCTTCTTCAGGCTCAGTCTTTTTCCTCAATAAATTTTTTTTGCACTCCTTTATTGTTTCATTAATTCTCCTTGTTTCGTCATCATTTTTTCTTCTTCCTTGAACATTTTTTTTTATTCTGCAAAACGGTTAAATGTCTGGAGCATTTTTTTTTTAAAAAAAAAAAAATTCTCCACTCTCTGTTTTCATATTTTCGTTATTCTGTTTTATGCAATTCTAGTTCTTTCCTTCCCATTGTGTAATCCTCACTGCTTCTTCATTATTTGAAGAAACCCAATCAGAAATCCTCCAAAACCAAGAGATCCAAGTCAAGAGGCGAGAGAGAGAGAGAGTGAAATCTGGTTTTCGGTGGTGGACAGTTCGTCGGTGGTGGCTGGCGGTCATCATTGTCGGGGGTGAGTGAGAGAGAGTGATTTGTATCTAGAGAGAGAGACTTATATGATTTGGGCTCTTTAGCGCGTGAAACACACTCCAATGGCAAACATTCGAGCAATTTTTGGGGCAAAAATGCTTTGAAACCCCAGTTTTGAAGGACCCCAGTGACCCCCAGTGATGTGGCAGCATGTGATTGGTTGAAATTTTTTTTTTTTTTTTTTTTACTTTCCCTTGGTCCACAGCCCCCCACGTGGAGGTGGGGGTGCTGGGAGTGCCTCCCTACTGGGGTGCCAATCACTGCTCATCTTATACTTTAATCCCACCAAACAAACCCCGGGGGGGGGGATTTTGTGTTGACGTAGCAGAACTGTAAATACAAATGAACATTGAAAGACTACATACTTGGATTCAGCAATATTCAAAATTAGAATCATAAAAACGAAGGCTAGCAATTACTTTTACCCAGAAAAGTCAGATATATCAAACCAATTTGACATTGAAGACAAGATAGAAAGAACCTTAATTTCCAATACAAGCATTAGCTACATAACTAATTGTAGATGAAAGGCACTTAGGAAATAGAAAGGCTGAAGAATTACGACATGTTTATAAATATGTTCCACCTAAAGCAGCAAGCAAGACTGATAATTTGTAAATAGGTACCGATCAATTGCAATATGCTATTCATTTGGTTCCTTATAAGAACTGAAAAAGACACCAAGCTTATGTTGCCATCAACAAGAAGTTACACAAAGACATATATAAAGTTTGATTTTTTTCAAACATATTGTACTAATACGAAGAGCAAACAATTGAGGTACTTCATAGTAAGATCAAGTTCAAGAATTTCCATAGAAACAACACTTATGGATTCATCTTTCCCCACTTCAAAATAAAATAAATGAAGAGATGACATATGAATTGTCAAATATAAATTTGACATATAGCCAAGCATCACATTCCACCATTAGATGCTTCCTAAAGCTTGAAAATGAGCATTTAGCCAAATATCAGGAGTTTATCAACAAGATAACACATGACCAGAATGCCATAGCTTACTCATAAAAACAAGTTCAATATATTAAAGCATTTACTTCTAGCAACATCCTGCCATTTTTTCTCTGTACAATTTTATTCCAATTAAAAAAAAAAAAAAACATGACTAAAAATAATTATAATTAACAAGATTAGCTTTATAAGTCAACTAAAGCTTGCACCACATCATACCCAGGAATTCAACACTTCCATCGAATTCCCAATCGACAAAGATGGTGCGGTATACCACTAATAAGAGGTCAACAATGCACCAGTGTGGTCAGCAAGCAGATAAACCTTCAAGCCTCCAGAAACAGCATCAATTCCATCAATTTCTATTGCTGTAAAACATGAAGAATTAACATAGTTTAGCAAAAATTCCAACAATTGCACAAAATCAATCAAACTGGATCAAAGCAGAGTAATTACTTTTCCAGTTTCAGGAACTTCAGGAACTTTGTATATATCCGCGGTGATTTCTGTCAACCACAAGCCCGGAAAAAGACACTGCAGAGAAATCAATAGAACAGTAAATTACGCAATTCAATCAAATCACAAATTGAGAAACAAAGAAAGTTGAGAAGAAATAGAATTTGAAATTTATAATTGATTAGATTTCACTTACATCAAGCTGTTCTTGCACAATCTTTGGCCGCTTCTTGGGTCTCCGAGGCGGTCTATGTCCGGCAATCACCATAAAATCATCCCCAATCTCTCGCCGACAAAGCGAAACTGAGAATTTAGCCCTATCTCTCATCTCGCCGGCGAGATTTTCCCCCGCCGGGACGGTGACATCGCCGACCAATCCTGGAGATTTGTTTTCGGTCCTCAAGGGCGAGAAATTAGGTTTTCGCTCGTCAACCTTCGAACTCTTCGCACCGCCACGGCCACCACTAACATTGCCACCGCCACCGCCACCGCCGCCGATAGCTCCGTTGATTCCAGTCGGAGCCTTACACGCAGCTCGTCTCGTCCTCAAATTCCACGGTCTCGCACCGTCGGCCTCCGCCGGTGCTGCGGCGGCGGTCGGCGGCCGTACGTCCTCCAAACCTTCCCTTAAAATCGCGACTTTCATCTTGTCCGCCGCCGTCTGGAGATCGAACATCAGTTTCTCCCTAACCGCCTCGATTCCATCGTCTCCGTCGCTCGCAGCCTTCGATTTCCGGCCAAAAACCCCAACCTCCGTCTCCGCCGGCGACGGAGACTTCTGGAAACTCTCCTTCCGATCAGTCCGTCCGATCCGCCTCCCGATCAAACGCTTATCTACTTCGGAAGCTGAAGACCTCCGATCGGCAGAACAGACTTCGCCATTTGGATTCATCTTCATGCACCTGAGATACCTCTGACTCCCCCACTTCAAACACGGCATCGTGAAATTGTGCAGAGGCTTCGATCTCTCCGATCCCATCGCCATTAACTTATCTGCTTCTCTCTCTCCGCTTTGACCCAAAATCACCATTGATCAAGCAACCATTCCTTGGAATGAAGCTCTCTCTTGTCTCCGCTCCGACTGATCATACGAACTTTCTCGGAGATTTTCTCGGGAAAATTTTCGAGCGAGAAGGTCGAGAGGGTTTCTCCGTATCTGTTGTTGTGAATTCTCCGGGAAACACAAGTTTATATACGAGAGTAGAGAGAGAAAAGTTGAGAGAGGTTGGTTTTAACGTTCGGGTGGCTATAGCCTTTGAAGAGAAGTTATCTCCTAGGTGTGGCCTATAGAATACTTGGTGTACTCGACCAGTAATGGTAGTGGCTTATTGGAATGTGAGCCGTATGGTTCTTGTGATTTAAAAATAAAATTATAAATTAAATAGTGGATTAATGGATTAACAGATTAAAAAATTATAATTTGAGTAATTTTGAACAATTAATGGATTAAGGAATATTTTGATCAATTATCAAGTCTTTACATAATATATAATACTAATTTTCAAAATATTATATATATATACATAAAACAAAAATTAATTTTACATAATATTTTTTTATATATATAACTATTAATTTGTAATAAATTTTACATATTAAATTTTTTTCATACTCATGAATGAAGCTCTCTCTTGTCTCCGCTCCGACTGATCATACGAACTTTCTCGGAGATTTTCTCGGGAAAATTTTCGAGCGAGAAGGTCGAGAGGGTTTCTCCGTATCTGTTGTTGTGAATTCTCCGGGAAACACAAGTTTATATACGAGAGTAGAGAGAGAAAAGTTGAGAGAGGTTGGTTTTAACGTTCGGGTGGCTATAGCCTTTGAAGAGAAGTTATCTCCTAGGTGTGGCCTATAGAATACTTGGTGTACTCGACCAGTAATGGTAGTGGCTTATTGGAATGTGAGCCGTATGGTTCTTGTGATTTAAAAATAAAATTATAAATTAAATAGTGGATTAATGGATTAACAGATTAAAAAATTATAATTTGAGTAATTTTGAACAATTAATGGATTAAGGAATATTTTGATCAATTATCAAGTCTTTACATAATATATAATACTAATTTTCAAAATATTATATATATATACATAAAACAAAAATTAATTTTACATAATATTTTTTTATATATATAACTATTAATTTGTAATAAATTTTACATATTAAATTTTTTTCATACTCATTTTTATTTTGATATTTCATTATGGGGTAAAAAATATATATGTAATAACTATAGTGAAGCAGACTGATTTCGAAAGCGATTTATAAATTTTAAAATTTAAACAACAATTAGTAAATAGAGCAATGTCGATTAATACGAATCAATGCAATTTTAACAAATTGGACAATATTTTACACGGGCTTTGTGGAGTATGACTCCTATTTGTAAATAATGATAACTATTAGAGCATCTTCAATGGTGAACCTTTTTTTTATCAAATCTGAGAAAAAATAAGGCGATTTTCTCAATTTGATACGAGATGCTCCAACGGTGGCATCAAATAGACTGGGGACGTCCGATGGGACGACCAGCCGGTCGACTAGTTAATGGACTGAATGTTTTTTTTTCTTCCTCCATTTCAGTTTCTATTTCGTTTCTCAAATATTTTGAACCAGAGCATCATCCACCAGGTAAATAGCGTGTAGAGTATCAAATTTGATTACTCATGTCTCTCTCGAATATGTTTCTACCCCCATCTACTATCTAATTTATATATATATATATATATATATTGATCAATTATCAAGTCTTTACATAATATATAATACTAATTTTCAAAATATTATATATATATACATATAACAAAAACTAATTTTACATAATATTTTTTTATATATATAACTATTAATTTGTAATAAATTTTACATATTAAATTTTTTTCATACTCATTTTTATTTTGATATTTCATTATGGGTTAAAAAATATATATGTAACAACTATAGTGAAGCAGATTGATTTCGAAAGCGATTTATAAATTTTAAAATTTAAACAACAGTTAGTAAATAGAGCAATGTCGATTAATACGAATCAATGCAATTTTAATAAATTGGACAATATTTTACACGGGCTTTGTCGAGTATGACTCCTATTTGTAAATAATGATAACTATTAGAGCATCTTCAACGGTGAACCTTTTTTTTATCAAATCTGAGAAAAAATAAGGCGATTTTCTCAATTTGATACGAGATGCTCCAACGGTGGCATCAAATAGACTGGGGACGTCCGATGGGACGACCAGCCGGTCGACTAGTTAATGGACTGAATGTTTTTTTTTCTTCCTCCATTTCAGTTTCTATTTCGTTTCTCAAATATTTTGAACCAGAGCATCATCCACCAGGTAAATAGCGTGTAGAGTATCAAATTTGATTACTCATGTCTCTCTCGAATATGTTTCTACCCCCATCTACTATCTAATTTATATATATATATATATATATAGAGAGAGAGAGAGTTGTTGGTTTGTTTCTTACTGCTGAGGGCTACCAAAGAGGATGAGAGATTGGAGGAGAGATTGCTCTTGGAAGATGAATTTCCATAGTCACTTTTGACGCTTTGATTCAAATTTCTAGAAAAAAAACTTATAGATGATGTATTGCAAAACTTACCCTAAAACTTTTGACAGATTTTTTAAACAGATTCAAATTTCAATGGAAGATGGATTTCTAACAATGTTTTGTTTTTTTACTCTTTTTATAGATGTATAAGAGCTTTATCAATCCTTTTTTTTTTTGGGTCAAATTTGAGTGAAATTTTGATTAAAAACTTTATATGTTGGTCATCTGGTAGTGAAAATACAACGGTAATGAATAGTATTTTTGTGAAAGACCCATCGCATTTTCATTTTGGTGAAATTTTTGGTGAATTCTCAATTTGATATCCATTTTGTGAAACTGTTGGAGCCACAAAAGTGATAATTTTTCACCAAATTTAAATCTGATGGTGAATTTGGTTCACCGTTGGAGATGGTCTTAGTGCAATTTTTTTTTAAGGAATATTTTGGTTGTTGAATTATTTAAGAATTAATTAATTGAAATTTAATATATTTTATAATAATATTGTTAAATTTAATGGATAACATTTTTAAAAAATTATCTTTTTTATTTTTTATTGTATTTTCTTTATTATGTAATTCATTACTATTGTGAAATCATATAATCGTGGCAAATCAAGTGATAAAATATAAATATTTATAATATTATTGTCAATTTCATAGTAACGGTGTAATACAATTTTGTGATGTGAGATTGCGTCATCAACTGGATTTTAGATTTATAATTATTCTTCTACTAACCACAATTAAGCATTATTAAAAATGTGTTTCGGCTTGGAATGAAAGGCCCAACCGAATGGGTTATCCCATATGTTTGGCTCAAGAGTCTTTTTGAAACCAGACTAAACTGTTTTTAGGTTATATTTGGCATGGATTTTTTTTTTAAATTTATTTATTTATTTTAATTTTTTTTAAGTCACAAAAAGACAAAATAGATTAAAAAGTTAAAAAGATAAAATATCATATTTAAATCATAATTATTTTATTTTTTTCTTTCACAAAAGTCAAAAAAATAAAAAAAATTCATCTCAAATGAGACTTTTTAATCCCAGACTAAAATAGTCAAAAAACTAAAAAATCAAAAAATTAATCCACATCTCAAATGAAGGTTTAGGCCTCATTTGAGGACAGAATATTTTAGTAATTTTTTGACTTTTTACAAATAATATGTGTAGAAAAGTAGAGAGAGTGATGCGACAATTTATAATGACTTTTTGACTAAAATAAATATAGTTGACAAACGAGACCTTAGTTTCCATTGGACTATTTTTTTCCGAAATGTAACTTTTTGACAATTTGACACTCAATTGTATTAATAATGATTGTGGAGTCTTATTTTGACAAATAAATAAATTGACTTGGGGCACATTTTTTAGACTGTTTGGAATAATCTAAATAAATGTACTTTTTAATTTTTTATGAAAAAATATACAGAAAAATAAAAAGGTAATATAACCTAAAAAAATAAAACGATAAAAAGTGTACTTATATAGTATACCTCAAACTAATTATTGTGCAATTATTTTTTTAAAAATCGCGATGTGACAACAAAATTAATCCTTTTTGTTAGCTTCCTTAATTGTGAAATTTGAAAAATAAAAAATTATGGTCTAATTTGTTAGAAGATATAAATTTTTTGTTACTTTTTTAATGTAATTTCCTTTTTCATATAACATTTTCATTAAAAAAAAATATGATAGTAACATTTTTATAATTATAATTTACAAGTGTATGACAATTTCATAAATTGATCTAACACACCATCCATCCATAAGTGGTACCAAAAAACAATTGATAATTTATTTTAAAATCAAATTCAACATTTATAAAATTCAAAAAAAAAATCACGAAAACAAATGTAAGTTAACCTCATAGACCAAATCAAACCAAACCAAACCAAATCAAAT